GGGGGTGTCGTGTCAATTTACTCTACTGGAAAGCAGTCGGGTGAAGGTAAAATGATTTGCACAACTCAGTTCAATTGATATTTTATCTCCTCGACATAATCTAAACGCATGGTCCACTATACATGTCACACCGACAGAAAATCACAGTGATAGCAAGCACAATTACTCGTCATTTTTTTGTTTTTGGAGATAACTTTCAAAAACAGTTATGGGGGCTCTTGTTGCCTAGAGGTTAAGGTTTTCGTCTCTCATGCAAAGGTCCCGGGTTCAAATCCGGGTAGCGACGGAAAAAGTTGCTTCTCTAAAAGTGTCTCCTCCTTTCACCTCCTTTCCTGCTCTAGCAATGTTCTGTCATTTGCTTTCGTCTCCACTTTCTACCCCCACCCCCTCACCTCCTTTGCCCCCTCTTCTGGGCCCCTGACTCTTTTCTGCAGCCTTTCTGCTGCTACTCCTTGGCTCCTTCTTACTGCTGTCTTTCAGCCACACCCCTGATTTTTCTGGTAGGCAAGATCTACACCTAGCTCTCTCGGACTAGGGCAAAAAATCTTTTAGGTCCCGTGTTCAAGTTGCGCACGTTAAAGATCCCTTGGTGGTCTAAAATTGGTAAGAGTAGGCTTGGACCGCCACCCGAGCAAAATTCAAAATTTCCTACCAACTGAAAATATTTAATGTGTCCCGCACGCTCTTATGACCTTATGCAGTTGCGAGCGCTGTAAAACACTTTCCAAAAACAACAAAAACAGTTATTACCTAAACCAAACTTATGGCTTGAGCAAAAGTGAAAATAATATAGGCTATGTGTAAAATGTGTCGTCAGTTGGGATTGTCAGTACAAGAAGCAAGCTGTGCTGTATTGGGGATGTGAAACATGTTTTTGCAGTCGTGTTTTGACCTTACTATGAAACAAATTTTGACGGTTGTGTTTTGACCGTGAGATTCTTTGTCCACTGCCTCTGTATGTTCCGTGTTCCCACCTCCTATGGTTTTTTTGTGTTCATACTACTAATTCATCGTTTGGCCCAAGTATAGAGTCCTTTCTGCTACAGCCTGCTTGCATCCCTGATTTTATGAACTTGTTGTTTATTGGTTTTTATGATCTCAGGCCCTGCCATCTCGGCATTTGATTTTTAAAACAGAAATGATTCGTCTTCGTACTTTAGAAAAAAGGCAAGAAGAGTGTGGGTTGTTGGAGAGTGCCACTGGTATGTCTTACTTCCTTACCCTGTTTTCTGTCTGTGCGTCTTTTCCCCCCAGCCCAGGGTGGTTGGCAGGTGCTCTGGGGTGGTTGTGTTCATTCTCTCCTCTTAAACATCTGTCATCTTTAGCTCTTTCTGTTATATCTTTGTGTGTCACTCTTTAGTAACACCTCTTTTTATC